CTGCACGAGAGGTGCATTTTTTTCATCCACTCCTGTTAGTGATGGAGAGTGTATGTTCATGGGGAATGCTTCTTCCTCCAAGATTGAGGGGAAATAAACTGTGACACTTATGTTTACTTCTAGCAATGTCTTCAGTTTGAATGATGTTCTTTATGTATCTAAAATTAGAAAAAAATCTAGTGTTTGACTTTATCTTAGTTAAAAGGGGTTAAAAATTTTATTTGAGTGTGATAAAGTTATACTATCTAAGGGTGGTTCTTTTTTTGGGAAAGGGTTTACAAATGAGAATTTGTTTCAATTAATGTTGTATGTGATTAATAATAAAACATGTACTTCTTCTGTTTACTTGCCGATTCTTATGATTTGTGGCATGTTGGTCTTGGACTCGTTAATATAGTATCCATTAAAAAATTAATGAGTTTGAAAAACATTCCTAAGACTGATAATTTTCCAAATACAAAATGTGAAACTTGTTTTGAATCTAAGTATGCTAGAAAACCATTTCTTAAAGTTGATAGAACTACTTCAGTTTTAAGTCTTATACATTCTGATTTATATGATTTAAAATGATGTCACTCATGGTTGAAATAAATATTTTTAACTTTTATTGATGATTATTCTCGATACTTTTACATTTATCTTCTTAAGAGCAAGGACGAAACTTTTTCTAAATTTGTTTCATATAAAAATTGAAAATCAGTTAGATAAAACTATTAAAATTTTAAGATCTAATAGGAGAGGAGAATGTTCTGGTGATTTTGACAAATTTCGTATTTATAATGGTATTTTTCATGAGACTATTACCCCTTATTCACCCCAATCTAATGATGTAATAGAAAGGAAAAATAAAACTCTAAAAGATATGGTCATTTCAATGCTAAACTCTTCTGAATTATATTTTAACATGTGGGGGGAAGCTCTTCTTACCTGTTATATTTTTAATAGAATTGCAAGTAAAAAAAAATGAAAAGTCCCTTTATGAAATGTGGAAGGGTAGAACACTTTCATATAAATATTTTAAAGTGCAAGGTGTTTAACTAAAGTTTCTATTCCAGCACCTAAGAGAACTAAGCTTGGTCCGAAAATTGTTGATTGTGTTTTTATAGGCTAGGCTCTTCATAGTAATGACACCTATTTTTATTCATTGACTCCAAAAATAATTTTATTTAAAATAACACAGTTTTTGAAACAAGAGATACTGGATTTTTTGAAAACAGATTTATATTTAAAGAAAAATCTGAAGGACCAAATAGCTCTGTTAGTGTTCCTCCTAGAGTTAGAGGGGAGCCTACTAAATTAGAAGAAGCTGAAATTAGGATAAGCAAAAGACCTCAGACAACTACTTCTTTTGGCTTTGACTTTCTAATCTACTTAGTAGAGGATGATTCTATTACTTATAATGAAGCTATGTCTTCACTAGATTTTATATTTTGGAAGGAATCTATTATGATTCATTATGTCTAATAATACTTGTGATCATTTGATTATATGTTGACGATATGTTGATTACGGGACCTAGTTTAGATGTAGTTAATATGACTAAACAATTTCTGAAAAAGAACTTCGAAATGAAAGATTTGTGTGTTGCCTATGTTATTCTAGGAATTAAAATAGTAAAACATTTCGATAAATTACTTTAACCCAATATCATTATGTAGAAAAAGCGTTTAAGAAGTTTAACCAATACAATTGTGTTCATACTAAAACACCTTATGTTCAAGCCGTCATTTGAGGAAACATTTAGGTCCTAATGTTTTTGTTTTAGAATATGCTAGAATGATCAGTAGTCTCATGTATCTCATGAACTATACAGAACCCATTGTAGCATATACGATCGGTAGACTTAGCAGGTACACTAGTAATCCTAAAAGTGAATATTGAGATGCTCTTATTCGAGTTTTAAGGTGTTTGAGATACACTCTAGACTTGGATATACATTATTCCAAATTTTCTATTGTGCTTGAGGGATATTGTGATGCTAATTAGATTTTCGATACCAATGAAAGTAAATCTACGAGTGCAAAGTACTTTAGCAGGTGGTGTTATATCTTGGAAATCTACTAAAAAAACATGTATTGTGAGATCTATTATGAAGTCTAAATCCATAGCTTTAGATAAGGCATGTAAGGAGGCTGAATGATTAAGGAATTTCCTCATTTATGTCCTTTGTGGTCTAAACCGTTTCTGGCTATTTCTCCTTATTGTCACAGTCAAGCAGCTATTTCAAGATCTCAAAATTTATCCTACAATAGAAAATGTAGACATATTCGTAGGGGGTACCGTACTGTGCATCAGCTGCTTGGGGATGGGGTTTAGCTATTGACTATGTAAAGTCAAGTGATAATATTTCTGACCCATTAATCAAAATATTAGCTAGAGAGCTAGTTCAAAAAACATTGCGATTGAAGATCCCCACGGACAAGGTTTAATGGGACAATAAAGCTATTGGAGTGGTCTGTAGGGGTACTACATTGGATTTATTTCAAACTCTTCCCTATGATGTGTAGTACCAACTGTATTGCTTAGATGATGAGTTAATGCTCTTAATGCTCACTATAGCTGTTATACGGTGGGTGTTTAGATACAGTGCACCCTTGATAGAAGTACCTATTTGAGTGAGGAAGTGAGGCTGCTTTTCATGAGAATTGAGGTTACTTCTCTAGAACACTCAAAGAAACGAAAAATTTCTTAGGCGAAATGAACATAATCGCAAGAACTCAATGATTATTTTAAAAGTTATATGTGTGATCTATTGTCTCAGTTTGCAACTATAATTGCATAATTTAAGACATAGTTGGCTCTACAGTTAGCAAACTCGCTAGAATATACAAAGCCAAGGTTCAAGTCTATAGACACCTAAGCCTGCATGATTTCTACCATACTCTAGATTAATGTTAATATTTACCTTCTTCTTTTTTCATGTAGGGGATTGTCAGATAGTTATATATGATAAATATATTACTTGAAAGAAATAATCATATTAGATAAAGTGCCCAATTGGTAAAAAGTGTGGAATTTGTGTTGGAGGTAGGAGGTTCGATTCATAGTCTACACGATTATTAAAATGTTTATGATTGGACCTTGGGATCTGTTTCCTGATTAAAAGAATATATTTTTATTTATTTTAATCATTTTCGAATTTATTTATTTACTAGCCAATAATACGATTGTTGGGTTGTTATTTAGCAACCAGTAAAAATTGAAATCATCGTGGAGGCAGTTATTACTTTTGTAACTATATAAACGTAGTCCGTTATTTGGAAAAAATATCAAAAAGGAAATATCAATTTTATATACTGTAATTCTTCATACTTGATATTATTTTATTCTTTTTTCTAAAGTACACTTAAGAGTTCTGAAATCATTTGTGAATGTTGCACAAGTGATTCGATCATTGTATTCGATCATTGTAAAATGCAATTTCTCTTTAAAACACCATGCTGTCGCGATACTCGATCATTCGTTAAGTTTTACTTTCTGCATTTTACTTTTCTGCAAGTTACTACAACTAATTATTCTCCAACAATTATTATAGTTGTATACCTTATTGATGCGTTTAATGTTGTTCTTATGATCTTCTTTCAGCAGCTCTTCGTCAAATGAAACCCGAATTAGTATATTGAGCAAAAATTGAAAATCTAACAATTTCTAGAACCTAATATGCATTTTGTATTCTTGTTTGGCCTTTACGCTGACAGAATCCATTCCTCAACTTGTCAAGCAATTTTGAAGTTTGACATCTGAAAGTTGGTGGAAGAAGATAGGTTCGATTTGGAGGGAAAATGGAGAAAAATGAAGAATGGTTGGGGAAAAATATCTTGATTACAATTATTACTTTTGTAACTATATAAACTAATGTCCGCTATTTGGAAAAAGATGTCAAAAAATAAAATATTATTTTTTATATACTGTGATTTTTCATACTTGATATTACTTTTTATTCATTTTTTCTGGAGTACACTTGAGAATTCTGAAAATCATTTATGATTGTTGCACAAGTGATTCGACTGTTGTATTCTGGGAGTTATTGTCTAAAGTGGTCGCAACAGTGAACGACGAACCATTTCACTTTAGGATATCGTGCTATTATAAGACTCAATCAGACGATAAGTTTTACTTTCTGCAAATTACTGCAGCTAATTATTTTCCAACAATTATTATAGTTGTATACCTCATTGATGTGTTTAATGTTGTTTTGTGGTCTTTTTCGACAACTTTTCGTCAAAGGAAACCCCAATTGAAATATTGAGCTGAAATTGAAAACCCAACAATTTGTAGAACCCAATATGAATTATGTTTTCCAGTTTAGCTTTACGTTGTCGGAATCCATTCATCAACTTGTCAAGCAATTTTGAAGTTTAACGTTTGGTGGAAGAAGATGGATTCAATTTGGAGGGAAAAAATGGAAGGAAATGAAGAATGGTTGGGGAAGAAGGTGGTGATGGCAATTGTGGTTTTGTTCAGTATTAGGGGTGAGGATAGTGGGGGAGAAGGAGAATGAGAAGAAGAATATAAAGTTTGGGTGGGGGTGGGATTTGGGAGTGGGGTGCAGATTTTAATTTAATTTTGTTATTTTTATTTTTGATTTAATTATCATAATTGTGTTTTTATGGAAAAATATAAATATGCCATTTTATCCTTTTCAATTTGATCAAAATTGGTCAAATTTTTATTGTTTTTGGTTAATTAATAGTCAAGTTGATTGAACGGATTTCATGTGCAAATTTTTGAAAGGAATGGGATCGTGGATGACACAAATGAAAGGCTGGTGTAAATTGAAAAAATCAAAGGTTTGGGACTACTGCTGCAATTTCCCTAATTTCTAGGTGATTTTTCTAAAATATACAAAAAACAAATTAAATAATTTGAGAATATTTATCCCTTTATAATTTATAATAGTTTATATCCTTATCCACCTCCATTTCTATCCGCACTTCAAAATTCAAATTATCGTTACCCCAAAATCGGCAAAAGAATAGGAAAAAAATATTAGCGCGAACATGGAGTTACAAGGTAAATTATATCAGTAATAAACAGTACTTTTCACAAATTTCCATTTCCCAATCAATCAAACCGTTAAACTTATGCTGAATTTAGTTTTTCTAAATTTTTAGGGCTCAGAGGTTCAAATAATCCTAAAGCCATGCTTTCCTCTTTATTGCATAAGCGACAAAAGCTTCAAGAAGAACTGCAGAACGTTGAAAAACAGGTACTTTTCAAATCATGTGTATTAGTACAATTCTATGTAATTTGGTATTGGTTTTTTTTTCCCCTGAGAATTTGTAGGTTTGTTTTTAAAATGTTGTTTTCTGCATAATTTGGTAATTTATTGTACTTTGAGCATTTTAAATTAAGTGTCTAATCTCTTATTGTAAGCTGTTGTTGATAATTAGCAAATAGTTGTTTCTTATTGAAATATTTAATGTCTTTGAATTTTCAGGGTGTATTTGTTTTATATTTTTACTTGTATTGGAATTAATTTGTTTCAGTATTTCAATTTTCTGTTTAGTTGTAAATATTGGATATCAAATTGTATTATTTCCTTTTTGAATCAATGATACTGTTTGCTGCAGGTATATGAATTAGAGACGAGTTATTTACAGGAAACAAGCACTCTTGGGAATGCGTTGAAAGGCTTTGATGGATTTCTTTCTTCAACAAAAAATACTGCTAAGTATGTAAACTCATACAAAATTTCTTGCTTTTTCATTAATATTTTGGGATCTGTTTATTTCTTATATTCCTTGGTAATTAATTTATTTGTTAAAATTGGATTCATGCACAACGTGTTGTAGTTGTGAAGGATCTAATTGCACTGGACTTTGCTAATGTTGGATTCATGCATAACGTAGTGGTAATGAAGTAATCAACATAATATCAAAGCATATTTGAGCTAAATGCTTTCATTGATCTGTTGTCATGCTAATTAATTTTTATCTAATCTATCCTTCAAAGGATAACTCAATTATAATTGACACAAAAATTTTTGGACACTCAATTTTCAGAATGCGATATAAAGTGGTCAGAAGGATAATCAGAACAGGCATTACAGAAAATTAATTTCTGATCACCGATGATTATATTTGACTTTCTTGAGTTCTTGTTGTATTAGTTTTTTCAAATTTTTTGCATGGCTTGAGCAATTGGAATTGGTGTCTTTGTTCTCAAAATCACAGAACCTGTTGGGAGGGTTATCGCTATTCATATATAGTAGAAACTTATTTTGGATCTAATAAAAAACTTGTTCAATATTAGAAGAGTAAATGTATATTCATTATCCTCGATAGAGAACTGCTGAATCACTTTTTAGTGAACTAATGCTTTTGAACATAAGAGAATATATTTATGTGCATTAGACTCCTTGGTGGTGAATTAGTTACTGTTAATCATAGTCCTAGTGCTAAGAAAGTGCTTTTATTGTTTTTGCTTGCATGAGCAGAGAAGTATTCTGTAGGGAACAAACATAATTTATTGCATGGATGCTTAATTTAATGGGAGATGCCACGTGTACACAATGGTGTACACACGGATTTACACCCCCCTCACATGGAGGGGGCCCACACATAATAAAATATTCCTGGGTCCCCCTCCCTGTGAGGGGGGTGTAAAGCCGTGTGTACACCATGAAGTGTACACATAGCATTTTTCTAATTTAATAGTCACCGACGATGATTTCGGGAGTGTTGAGTGATGGAAAGCTCAGATAGTATTATTAGGAAATTGATTGCGAAATAAAATCAATTGTCAAGTGTGTCATGGTATTCTTTAGGGTATTGACATGTTTATATAGTGTATTGGTTATTGCATTGAGCAATTTCTCATACGCTAGATATCTGACAGTTAATTGAATTTTATGGCATTTTATTTGATTGATGTCCAATTGTTTTCGTTCCTTTTTTCTATTTTTTTCATGTTCGGCATGATCCATTAAAGCAATGTTTATTAAAAAGTCTGGTGAAAGACATCCTATCCACCATTGAAATCTCTCTCTCTCTCTCTCTCTCTCGCTCGCTCGCACACGCACTTGTATTTAATTTTTTTGCGATATTTGAGATAAAATCTATGAAGAAATGGAATTTGGCCAATCAATCCCTCTTCCTTTTTGTCACTTCACCAGACACCTCATGGCATATGCAGAGCCACAAGCTCAAAACTTCATATTAACTTGATAGGTCTGGCATTATTTGTTCAATTTGATGGAGGACAAGATGATACGCGATAATGCATTGTTTCAACGAAAAAGTTGTATTAATATTGTTGATATCCAATGTTTGTTAGGGATTTATTTATATATAACTCTTCTTACATTGTGTTTCAGCTTAAAAAGATCCAGAAAGTTTCAGCTTGAAGATCGGGTGTTTTCATTGTCCTCAGTTACCTCACCAGCAGTATGTGCAAGATCCTAACATTTATATTTAGAGTAGACCTTTCTGTCTAAGATATCTTGTTATGAGTGTCTTGTTTGAGTAACTTCCATTTTCTGGAAATATTCTTATCAAGAGTAAGAAGGGTTTGACTAAAATCTGAAGTCTCAAAACCTAAGTACTCTCAGCCAATGCTTGACCATGTGTGTAATTCCTGAAACAAGTTTGTTGATACATCATAAATCCATTTTGGAGTACAAGTTCTTGTCTGAATATCTAAAAGTTTGGTCATGTATAATCCTATTTATGTAGAAACTTCTATTTTGAAACTATGTCTAAACCTAGGAAATGAAAGTTCTTGATGTGTTATTCCATCAGTGGCTAATAATCACTTTTTAGCAGAACGATTTCCTGTAAGAATATGAAACGAATTTGTTCTACAGAAAATGATAGTGTTTGACAACTCTGACTGATCTAGGTAAAGCCAGAAGCATGATGCCCAGAATGCATTGATTATTTACCTTATGCAAAAGATACTGTACCTTTCCTTAAAGGAAGCACCTTATGGTCCTTATCCTTGTGGTTTTGTGATGTATTTTTTTTGTCTCACTCTGTTATAAAATGGGCTTCCATTTCTCGTGCTTATGAAAATTAATCATTTCGTCCCTTTGACGATGAGGATAGTGTAGGTAAACTGGAGGAAGCAAGCAATAAAAGTGTTGTTACTCTTCTCTTTTAATGAATATTCTTCAGAATATTCTTTGTTTTTCACGTTCTTTACCTTTCTTGTTTTCAAAAATTAACCTTCTGTTGTAAGGGACTTATTGTTGCCTGCTTTTGGTATTAACCATTCGGGTTTGACATTGCCTGTTTGATCACTTCTTGATGTATAGGCAGAGGAGCTTAGAGTTGTACGAGAAGGTTAGTCTTTTTGTTTTCTTTGCTTTTTAAAAGTTGTTCTGTGGTACTACTACGAGGAAAGGTGTAATTAATCCCAGGTAACTTGTTCCCGGGATTGACAACATAAACAATTTTTATTGCCTTCTTACCCGTTCCTTTTTGACATTTTTAAGCCCTGTTGTTTTACCTTCTCTCCCTGCATGTTCTTAGATGGAAGATTGGATATAGGTCAAGGTCGGTCCAAGGGTGGAGGCTTAGCCAGTAATGGACAGTAAGTCCAACTTTTCATCATTGCATGAGTTTATATTTACATAGTTCGAGGAAGCTAAAATGAAATGTTAAGATAGTTTGTGTTGTCATCTCTCCACTGGATGCATAATATGAGTTCTTTCGTCAGGGGAAAACCAAAGAAAGGAAGAACAGGCTCAAGGGATGGAAAGAAAATTAGGCTTTCAAGTGACTTGGATCTGGATGATGAAGACGATCTTAATTTGAGATAGCTGACTTTCTTACTTTTGAATTCAACTTCTCCTATGTACTATATTGTGCTGTAAGTTAGTGATTGTTAGGTTAAATTAAGTAAACGTGTAATCTGTGCTAAGAATATATATGTTGTAAGATGACCAAATTGAATTCGGAAAGATTGAAAATAAACAAAGATATTAAGGTAATAAAAAATGCATTTGAATTGATTTTTTTTCTGAGTTCCCGGTTCTGTTCTGTAGCATAATATAGTTTGCAGTATATATTTTACTGATCCTGATTATTTCAAGCTTAGGAATCATTTACAGTTTGGAGACAATTTACATGATTTCTCAGGTTTTGCACGAAAAAAGAGTTGCTGAAGAAATACGGTACGTATTCTGTAGTCTATATTGTTGGAACCTGTAATTATTGTTAGTTGAATTTGCATTGTTATTAAAACTAAAAATGCAGCTTGCTGGAAAATGAAGATAATAAGAGCCCAGTGATTTAAAATCACGGTCTCTTTAAGACAGATTTTACCCACTCTAGCACCTAAAGATTTTCATTGTAAAGAAGTAACACCCCAATATCTGAACGGTGAACTTAACTTTTTATATGGAACCGAATGATGAAGGAACTCAGCTCAACAGAATGCAAGAAGATAATTTGCAGAAAAATTATATTGAAATCTTACTTTAAGGAAATCATGAGAGCCCTATTTAAAAGTTTTAGATGTGGCTATTCGTCAAAAGTCATCGCCCTAAGATGGTACTGGAGAGAGGTGTAGAAGATGATTATGAGAAACTTACCACACCACCTACATTCCAAGGTTCAATTAAAACAGGTTCTATGAATTTACACACTACCCCCACTCCACAACCATTCTACTTTTCCACCGCACTCCACCCACTACAGAATTCCCCGACAGGAGACTCCACTGGAGCCCGTCATAGGAGAAGGAAAATTAGGAGGAGACGGCGGATAAGGGGATCGGTTATTGAAGAGACTGCAAGAGAATTTTAGAGCACGCACTTACATCCTCATAGGTTGCGGCCGATCCATCCCGGCAACGGCTACAAAACAGCGCAGACAAGACGCTTCGACAAGACTGAACTACCAACTATAGGGGACGCAGGTAGTTGTGTAGGTCCAAAAATGACATCTTTCTAGATCAAAAACCACCATTTTGAGGAGAATAAATACCGTGGAGTGCAGCCAATTGTTTTGGATCCATGTTGACGCCAACTTGTGCAACTTGCATGAAAAAGCTAAGTCTAACTTGACTACAACAAAGCTTGAAGGAAGAAATTCAATTGACTACTGTGAAAGGGACATGTCAACTTGAATAAGAGGTGTAGAGATTTGTAACTTGCAATGAAGCCAATATATATTTGGCTACCACTTGCACAAAGGAGGTTGGAACTTGCATAGAGGTGGCATGCAACCGACAACCAACGATGGCTCTTGGATCAATTAAATTTTGGCCATTGATTCCTACTTCCTTTTCAAGACTTTGCCTATGAATAGAGGTGTTGGGTTCATTTATAAATCATAAAGAGTGAAGTGAGATAGACGCTTGAGAGATTGTAAAGTTTTTCCTTTCAATTATTTGAAGAGATTTCTCCCAAACTTTCTTGCTTTCATTATAGCTCCTACATTAAATCTCCTACTCGAAGTTACCATATAATTTAACAATAAAGGTTGAATTTTCATGGGTGTGGGAAAAGCTGGCTAATTCTTTCTCATGGGAAAGGGAATTGTAAAATGTTAAAGCTGCACGGTTCTAGTTAGTTTGGGAGTAACAAAATTAGGTCTATGATAGGTGGTATCAGAGCAGGTCCGCTCTGAACATTGCGTAGTTGGTTTACATAAGACTGATGGCGTGCATTATTACGGAAACGATTTTCGGACCGCCAAGGTAGAATAAAGCCATAGAATATGTGACAAATCAGTGCTAGCAAACAAGTGGGATCAATGAGGAGAAGCTTTGCAGATGATGGATGTAGGGACAAGTGTTATGCAGTTTTGCCTATTACACAAACGATGTTTCATAAATCGTTGCAAAAAGGAATCAAATGTGGGGGCATTTGCTTTGAATGCTTAGACATTCACGATGGTGTTACGTCCAAAGGAGCCGTCCATTCGAGGAACCAATGCGGAAGTGCAGAGGGTGAAGGTCGGCGTCAAAGGCAGCATGTATAGGTTATTAAGAGAAGAGGTGCATGGGGCAATGTGGACGCCTACACATTAGGGGGATGATGTCACAATCGTGGAGAATTTTCGGACCCAAGGGTGTGGAGGAGAATGAAATATTGAAATGGTACGAAGATGTGAGGCACATTTTTCGCTACGAACGTTAACAAAGTAGGAGAATGAGTCATGGGATGAGAACTCCCCTGCCGATGTGGTATGGCAAGATTTCTTATTACAGGTTTAAGGCTAAATTATCAGAAATGCATTAACTATGTCTCTTATGTGGGTATTGCTTTAAGCTTCCTTCCCAAATTTCATGTTATATATGTCTTGTGCTTAGCTTGCTTGCCTGCCTATGTGTGTGGGAAGGCTACCCCAGGGACTATGACAACTAGGGAGCCGAATAGGCGCCTGTTACAACCGGTCACAAACCTAGTTTTGTTACAATGGAACTAATTAAAACCGTGTGACCTTAACGTTTCACAATTTCCGTCCCCACTAGAAAACGTTAAGTAAGTTTTAGAGAATTCTCTTTGTATAAATGAAATGGAACTTTACATTCTCCCAAGTGTTTATCTCACTTCACTTCTTATGATTTACAAATGAACGAAACACATTTATTTATAGGCAAAGTCTTGGAAAGAAAGTTTGAATCAATGGCCAAGATTTAATTGATCCAAAGGGATGGCAATGGGGTGGGTCTCACCCCTCGCCCTGCCAAGAAACTCCCTGCCCCGTCCCCTCCCTGTTACCCATTTAAGGCAAGAAGAGGCAGGAGGGGCTAGTCCTTGCCCTGTTTACTATCCTGTTTAATTTTTTTTTCAAGTTTTTGATAATTTATTTTTATTGCCCTCATTCATTAAATTCAGACAAATAATTTTAGTTGCCGTTTTCTATTAGAACTAATGAAATTTCGTGAAATTTTCTATTTAAAGTATTGAATTCTAAAAAAAATAAAATTAAAAGGGGCGAAGCGGGGCACCCATTACCTGTCCCTAGACCTGGACAAAATTTCCCGCTCCATCCCCGCCTCGAATACCCGATCAAGCGGGTTATCCCTACCTCGAGCGGGTATCGGATTTATCGAATTTTTTTGCTATCCCGAGTTGCAAATTGCATGCCCCCGCCTCGAATACCCGATCAAGCGGGTTATCCCTTCCTCGAGCGGGTATCGGGTTTATTGGATTTTTTTGTCATCCCTAGTTGCAAATTGAATGCCACCTTTATGAAAGACTAACCTTCTTTATACAAATGATATCAAATGAATATTTGCTTCCTTGCAAGTTGGAAATCTCTACACCTCTTATGCAAGTTGATATGTCCCTTTATATTAGCTAATTTGAACATTGTTTTTTCCTTCAAGCATTGTTGTAGTCAAGTTGGATTGGCTTTTGAGCTTTGTTTCTACACTTAGTTGAGGTCTTAAATGATGATATTTTGTTATTATTTGGATGGATTAGTGTTTAATTTGTTATTTATTTCATTTATTAGGAAAAATTCATGTTTGGATGAAGAAATAAAAGAAAGAACGGAAAATGGCTAAAGTGAAGGAAATTCAAAGTTTGGGGACTAAAGTGTAAATATTCAAAAATTGTGACGGACCTCACGATGAAAATCTGAGAGTACTAGGTGCTAATTGGATTAGAAAAGAAGTCAAAGAAATGAAATATAATCAAAATATTATCAAACATCAATTTTCAGTCGAAAGAGTTACGCTTCGAATTTCTACCTTAGATTGAAGCTCATTTTTGGCATAGCAAACACTCAAATTGGCAAATGATATCCAGTAAGAATTATAGTCATTTGAGTTAGCTTTCCAAAGTACGTTGAATTGCCTCAATCGGATACTTGAAGAGGAAGTTGTGACAAAAATATTAAATGATGCTCGATGACAAGCCTAGCGTGCGCCTAGGTTTGCAAAGGAGGCGCCCCTCCTCTTAGTCTGAGACGCCTGAGGCTGCCTAAAGGGTTCAGGTGTGAGCCTTATGTAGTACTAGGCGCGTACCTCAGTATAAAATGGGGAAAAATTCGATTTTTCTTTCTTTTTTTTTTTTTAACAATTCAATGCAATCTTTTTGGCATCCTTTAAATGCCAGAACTCGACCAGAACGTGGGAGGACCTCCCTATACCTAAAAATTCATAGATTCAACATATTTTTGAGGTGAAGAACGAGATTAGATCATCAACATCAAGGAGATTGTGCAAGATTTTTTTAAGATTATCCATCAAAAATCAAGATTTCTCTCCACTTTCTTCCATAATTTTTCGATCCGGGTGATATTTTTCTATAAATTCATGTGTAATTTAATGATGAGGATAATTAGCTAAGCTTTTCCTTTGTATTGAATGAATGATAAACTCCTTGTTTGTTTATTTTAATTCAAGACAATTAGTTTAATATTTCTTGATTTTCTTAATAGATTTTGCATTCCCATTGAATTATTTGATTGTTTGATCACCAATTAGATAGTAAGTTGCATATTGTAGTGTAAGAATACTCAAAATAAGTTTAGAACACGGCAAAATCAACACATGGACAATAGTATTAAAAATAATATCAATTGCATGTACAATCATATGTGATAAATCATGTGAGTCAATATATGTTTTTCATATGAATTCAGACTAGAAATATGATTGGATCGTATTAAATATATGTTTAATATATCTTAAATAAATATTAAATAAAAGTGGATTATTTATTGTCTTGAATATATGAATTTACTAAATTTTAAATTCATAATTGAAATATAAGGCAATGGGGGGATTCAAGATTTCAATACAAACATTCACATGCTAGATAAATACTTTATTTGCTTTCTTAATTTAGGATTAGTATAG